TGTAGGAGGGTTCCCCTTTCTCCACATACTCACCAGCACTTGTTATTCTCTTTTTGATAATAGCCAGTCTAACTGGTGTGAGATGATATGCGCCTGTGGTTTTGATTTTCATTTCCCTGATGCTTAGTGATGTAGAGTTTTTTTTATGTGTTTGTTGATCATTTGTATATCTTCCTTTGAGAAATTCCTATTCAGCTCATTTGCCCATATTTTAATCAAGTTACTTGTTTTTTCACTGTTATTTCTTCCTTGTGTATTCTGGATATTAACCTCTTATTGGATACATTGTGAATATTTTCTCCCATTCTGTAGGTTGTCTTTTTACTCTGTTAACTGTTGCTTTTGCTGTGCAGAAACTTTTAAATTTGATCCCATTTATTTTTCCTTCTGTTGCCTGTGCTTTTGGGGTCATATCCATAAAGTCTATGTTCAGTCCTACTTCCTGAAGTCTTTCCCTGATGGTTCCTTTTAGTAGTTTTATAGTTTCAGATCATATATATAGGTCTATAATCCATCTTGAGTTGGTTTTGGTATATGGTACAAAGTACAGGTATAATTTCATTCTACATATGAGTGTCCAGTTTTCCCAGCACAACTTCATATTGAAAAGGCAGACCTTTCCCCAATGTATGTACCTGTTGCCCTTGTCAAATATCAGTTGGCTGTAAGTATGTGGGTTAGTTTCTGGGTTCTCTATTCTGTTCCATTGGTCCAAGTGACTGTTTTTATGCCAGCTCCATGCTGTTTTGGTTACAATAGCTTTGTAGTATAATTTGAAGGCAGGTAGTGCTATGACTTTGGCTTTATTTTCTTTGCTCAGGATTGCTTTGGTATTCAGAGTCTTTTGTTGTTCCATGTGAATGTTAGGATTGTTTTTTCTTTTTCTGTGAAGAATGCCATTGTATTTTGATGGGTATTGCATTGGATAGCATGGACATTTTCACATTGTTAATTATTCCAATCCAAGAGTATGAAATGTCTTTCCATCTTTTTGTGTCCTCTTTAATTTTTTTCAGCTTAGTGGTTTGGAGTTCTTATTGTAGAGATCTTTCACCTTCTTGGTTAAATTTATTCCTAAGTATTTTATTATTATTTTTTTTGGTGACTACTGTAAATGGGCTTGCTTTCTTGAATTCCTTTTCTGCTAGCTCATTATTGTAGTATAAAAATGCTACTTGTTTTTTTGGGTGTTGATTTTGTATCCTGCAACTCTACTTAAATTGTTTATCAGCTCTAAGGATTTTTGGTAGAGTCTGTACATTTTTCTGTATATATGATCATGTCATTTGCATACAGGGACAGTTTTACTTCACCTTCTCCAATCTGGATGCCCTTTATTTCTTTCAATACTATGTTAAATAGGAGTGGTGAGAGTGGACATCCTTGTCTTATTCCTATCCTTAAGGGAAAAGCTGAAAGTTTTTCAAGATGATATTGGAGGTGATTTGTCATATGTGGCTTTTATTGTGTTGAGATACTTTCCTTCTAAACCTAATTTGATGAGTCTTTATCATGAAGCAATGCTGAATTTTGTCAAATGCTTTTTCTGTGTCAATTGAGATAATCATATGGTTTTTGTCCTTGATTTTGT